GATGTTTGATTACATGCAATGTTAAATCGTTATTTGCGTTCGTACAACACGCACTGAAGCATGTACAGAAAAGCCTCTCACTATTGTCTTTCGGTTGTTAAAGGCCGTACAATCCCTTGTTCTCTCCACTATATATTACGCTTGGCTTCAAAGAGCTCCGGTTGTGTTTCTTTTTTCTGCCGTACTTGATAACAATACCTTCAGTACATTTTTTCATCTTAAATATCTCAACTCTCTTCATTCAACAAGCGGGTTGGCCTGGCACGTAAATCAGTTCTTCTCGTGATACTTTTTTCTTATTTTCTGCGTCTACTGATGTATAGATGTGAACAGGCCAATATAATTATGCTCTTCGCATCCTTGACCGAAATACTAATTACACAGATGAATAAATCGTATATGAATTCTGGCAAAAGTCTCCGTTGCATTGCTAAAAGTAATTGAAAGCACCGATCTTTTTTGTTCATGATCAGGTGACTGGGGTATACGTGATCGAAGTAAACCGTGGTGTCCTTGATGACCACTACTACACTATTGCTCAGATCTTAGTTTGATTAACGCACTCTCCAAGTCGGTAAATAAGTTGTGTATCACAGTTTTACCGTTAGCTCCTCGCATATATTTTGTCAGGCTGACTGACTTCTGACTCATTATCACCAGTGTTTTCTACCCGACAGTTTCTAAACTCTGTACATTGAGTCCTTTCCTCTGATTTTCCTGTTACCGATGTATTCAGTTGGCCCTTACAGAAACCCTGTTTAATTGGCCAAGGCACTTCGTTTCGTGTCAGTAACTTCGATGTATAACCATCAACCGATACAACCATTAACATGCGTCCAGAGCTTGTTGGCATCTCACCACGATTACGGCCACATTCACAAAAATAAAGTACCATCAGGACAAAACAAACAAGAAATATCACCAACGAGTATGCGACGCTCGCAGAAGCAATTTCTATCATCGGCAGATAAAACTCTTTTCACATAGAAACTGCTTTTTAAAATCCCGGCATCTAATTAGATAGCACACCATAATGGTTCCGAGGACGAGTAGAATAGAGTGTTCGGAGAAATGAAAACGCATTTCCATATATTGCCGATATGTACATCAATATTTGTTTGGTTTATTAAATGACATGCAAATCCAGGCTTTGTTTTAGCAGTTTACGTCAAGTATGGACCACCGGCCGGTGGTTGTATTTACTTCTCCAGCTTTGTTTAAGACTCGTCCGAACAAACAAATATCTGATTATTATACAAGAAATACTAATAGGTCCGAGGCTAGGTTACAATGAACGATCATTAACGTGGCTTTTGTCCCGTTCTAAACGCTTGGTAGAGGATGTTCAATCAAAACTGATCATTTTGGTCACAACAGAAATATAATTTTAGAATAATTTGACCCAAATAAAAATGATTATTATAATAAAATCGAAATAAAATTAGTTTGCATTTAAATATTATCTATAACTTTAAAAGACAAACCCAGAGAGAAGAACATAGCGAAGCAAATGCATTTATAAAACAAGGTCATTCTTTTGTTTTTTTCGAACATGCTAATTTTGGTGATCCTCTAGGTCGCTTGTTGAAATCGTTGGTTTTAATTAAAACGAAACAAATGGGTAGTTAAAACTATAGAAATTTTTCTTCCTGCTCGGGGCAATAAATGTGCTTTACGTATTCATTTATGATGTTCTACATTTCAGCGGTGTCAGTTCTACCATAGTTACTGGACTCTACTAATTTCCGACAAGACTTGAAGGATGGACGGTTTTCCGGATCAGCTCGTTATCGTCATATTCATGTATATACTCATGATAAAATACAACATGGCAAGAGTTTAGAGATAGGGGTTGTTAGCATGGCAACGGCGGATATTATCGATGCCGGCAAAAGAAAAACATTATCGCCACTGGTGGAAATACAGTTCTAAAAGCCAAGATGCAGCATTCAAGAATACGTATCGTGGTCATGGGCTTCAGAAACCGGCAAAGACCAAAGATGGAGAGCTTTTTCTTCTTGTTTTGTTTCAGTGTGATTTCAAAGCGTTTGACTGAAACTGAGACAAAATAAAAAAATAACTTTATTTTGGTATTTGCTTTCAATGACAGGGGCACCCAATGGATCTGTTCCGATGCCTTTGCGCTATTGAGTGGAAGAGTCCGGCGGTCTGCTGGGAAAAGATAAATGAGACGAAAAATAAAAAAAAATGTTACCTTCAAGATTTTGGTCGATTTGTCAGGTTGCAGGTTGTAAGGTTGCTGGCTGGGAACTCTTCCATCAGTCTTGCTGGGAGTGAGGAACAGATAATTTTTTTCCAGCAATCTCCCAAAATGCTTAAAATAGTCTCAGAAAACTTTATTCACGCTTTGTTGTTGTTTTTAGGTCTTTTTCTCAAAATTTCGCGTTGGGTGCCCCTGCAATGAATCTTACGTTTCCAGATATTCTCTTTCTGAGGCGTCATTGGCTTCTTTAAACTGCCACAAATCAGCTAACATTTGTGCAATGAAATAAACCAGTTTAGGGTTTCGTTTATTTGCAAAGCGCAATCATATTAAATGAGACGATAGCGATGAATTATTAAATTAAGTACTATTTTCATACAACAACAGCTTTTGGTCGACAAAGCGCTGATACTGACGGGCATGCTCCAGTATAATTTCACTGAGATTAGGAAAGAAAGGAATGCGAAATGTTTCGTTAAAAGGAAGTTGAAACATTACCCTCGTTCATGAAAAATTCCCCTATATCTGAAGAGAAAATTGAGTATATAGTTAAAACAGTAGTAATTAATTTTCGATAATTTCGTTTGGTGAAAACATGAGTTAGTTACTAGAGCTACTTTCAAGGCTCGCTATTACAGTGTTAAGAAAAGTTTTTCCTGTGCTTTAATGCTGTCAAACATTCCACTACGTGCTAGTTTAGTTTATGATGAATGTTCAGACTACGATAAATTCCTTATAAAGACTGACATATCTCTGTCAGCAAAGTGAATCTGCATTAGTAACGGTAAGACTCCATTTATTTTTTTTTAAATCAGTACCCTTGCGGAGTTAGACACAGCTATCGTCTTCATTATCTATGACCAAGATATCGTAGCCTGGCGAGGTAACATTAAACGACCCGTTTCGTTTCGCATTCGTAGAGGTTCTAGTTGTTTTCTCAACCACTGGATGAAATTTCTGGTGGCTTTCGAAACTCTCTCCATTTCGATAGTATTCAATTAGTCTGTTTGCAAAAATGCTGCCCCTGGGAGAAGGTGGTTTCGAATGTTGCATTTCGCGTTTCTGCAGATGGGATAAAAATCTGCCGGTTTCCAAGCTGCAGTTTTGGAGTGCTGGTTTTGTCAGCGTATCTTTTTCAAGAGGTATCTGTATGTGACATTCACCTCGGCGATTTTTTGCGGCTGTTGAACGTTCGGTCCTCCAACCTGTAATAACAGCCGAGAATGAATCTGTGTCCTCTTTGGTAACTGTGTTTGCAGCCTCTTGGTTAGCAAGATTTTTTCCAAAAACATTGCTGTCGGTTTCCAGATAAACGCTTGGTTTACGAGCCAAAGTTGCTCCTTCCATTACGTGAAAATAGTTTTGATAGTACTTCGTGAAGTCATTTTTCTTCCGCCCTGAAGCATTTCTCGCGTTGCGTTTTCTCAAATTCTCATACCGTTTGCTAATTTCTCTTTCCTTTTCTTTTATTTCCTTCATCCTATTTCTGAAGATCCTGTCACTTTCTATTTCTTCTCTGCGTTGTTTGGCCATAGCATGTCTTTGTCGCTCTCTCAATTTGTACGATTCGTTTTGGTAACTTTCCAACAAAGCCTTTCGAATTGACAACACACTCGAATCCATGCCCATTCGTCGGCGGTAATTTTCAAGAAGACTTGCAAAATATGGGTGATTCATCGTTCAACCGAATTTCAAAGAACAAGCCTCCCATTTGCTTTAACACGTTTCCAATCCCTCATTCATAAAATTAGCCCGCTATCATAAAAAGGATCATTGACACTTCTGTAAACAGATATTCGCTACTTCGTATCCAAAATAATTTGACCTGATTAGTAAGCTTTATTTTAAGCGTATTTCTGATTGGTATTGAGAATAATTGTTCTTTAGAAACCCAATATTACATGAATGGCTTAGATCTAATGTTGTGATTTCTCAGTTCACAACAAAGGTGTTTTATTCTTATATATATTTTGAATAATGCCCGTTAAATAAATAACACATTTAGATCAACAAGTTTCTCATCATGTGCTGACCGAAAACGAGCGAAGGCCTCAGTCTTTGAGTTCACATTTAACGAGGTGTTTGTGTTGTTTTAATTTACAAGTAGATTTCCATTCATTTGAGGACACCTGATGTGAAATAGAATATGGGCTGTGATTAATTTTCTGCACGAAATTATAGTGCAGCCAGCCAACCTACCTTTAAAATCTGTTTGAAACAGAAGCCTATAACCAATCTCTAATCTCTCTCAATTAATTTTTTTCTGAGTTTATCCATACTGCAGGGTTTGGAGGGAATTGTGATCGTTCGATTCGGCCGAAGTTGTTTTCGCCCGGACTTAAGTCTTTTATATATTTGGGGAGAAGTTTTCAGTGGAAAAAATTGTTGATCCACATGTGTAGTCACTGTCTTTGCACGCATATTCCTTTTTCAGGCTTAAAGAACGATAAATAAACATAGGCGAATCGACTTACGTCCGGGCTAAACAACTTCGGACTAGTCGACTTTCGGGCGAAACGACCCCTTCCCGTTTTCAGGCATATTGTTTTTGTAAGTATTGCGTGCCTATGACTTACTACTTCCGGCGGAAACCTGCCGATGCATACATTAGCATAATTTCTCGACTTGAATGGAAACAATGGTGGTTGCCAACCAAGAACCTCTTCGTAAATTGGTGTAATTTCCTTAAAAACTGGCATCCTTCATTCCATTTTTTGAATTATTATGACCAATTTAATGAAAGAAGTCTTAAAGAATTGACCTTTGGGAGAAATCTATGACTAAAAAGTCGCAAAATGGAAGAGGACATCGGCATCTCAAAGCGCGAGTCGAGACCGCGGACTTTGTGGAATCACTGACGATGCTGAACGGTTTTAATAAGCACAGACCTCTTAGTACGATCGAGTTTGAACAGCAGTTGGATTATCTCTGTCAATGGATGGAAAAATGGAGCGACCAAGTGGTAAGTTAAGATAAAACTGTGTTAATTATCAAAGATCGACTCGTCGATCTTGCAGCCATGCCGAAAACTTTTTGAAGTTTGCTATTTAGACATGCCGCGCGCGACCGACTGCGAGTATTTGTTTACAGTAAATTATGCCCTCATTGACTTTTGCGTTTACTTTTATACTTATGTTTAAGCAGCTTTTCTTAGCTGTGTAGCGCCCTTAAACCTTTTTAATTTGAATTTTGAGGAAGTTGATTTTTCAAAACCTCTATTTATCGGAAGAAAGGGAAGCTAATTACAGATATTAGACACCGTTAAAATGTTAGTTTTACACCGGTTATCTTCTGCAGTTTGCTATGAATTTACAGCTGTAGTTTCTGCTTCGATCCTTTATCTTAAAAACTTAAACTATTCAATATGTATGTAGACTTCAATGCTTTCAAAAATGCTTTAAAAAGCACTATTCTGTACTCAAGGTAATGCTCACAAAAATTTAATTTCTTACACCTCTGTAATAAGCCGGTCTAAATGGGGTTTCCTGACCTTTGCTATTATTCTAACTTATATAACTAGTGTTACAATTGGGAAGTTTCTTCATACCACGTTGATTATAAGTGTTGCCTGAGTATTTCAATAACCAGCAACGAATACCCTTGACAGAGAATTCAGAAAGCCAGCTGTCTTTAGGGTTTGTTTGTCCTTGGTCTGTTCAACATCTTAATTCAAAAGAAGGATTAAAGGATTTTGAGCACAATTGCTCAAATCTTTCAAGTCTCTCTCTTTCATCGTTTCCACAAATAGACAATTTGGTACTGTCAATAACACTGCAGTAATAGCAAAACGACACAATTTTTTATCTTTGTTGTTCATCAGTCTAGAATATTAAAAGGGTCACTTGAAATTTAACTGACATATTCTGTTTCCATGGAAACTGCAGGTACCACTTACAGAGATGCTATGTTTTTTTTTTCATAATGATTTACATACCAATTTTATCTAATGACTGGGTTAATAAAGGAAATGTTACCCCCGGCACTATTTGACCCTAATGAGATACCGTGAATTCGTGTGCCTGACATCTGCAGGGCTTTCAAAAAGTTTTTAAGTAGCAGGCTGATAATGAATAGAAGGCAGCTTTGAAACTTACACCATGTTTTTTCATCATAATACAGGCAAGACTGGGAACAATGCCATCAAAATGTCCCGGGCGTTCCACAACTTTGCAGGGTTTGAATGTTTCTCAGATCTAAACCTTCAAAATATGTGTTCAATGTCATTCAAATCTGAGAAACAGATGCTTTACAATAAAAAGCACCATCGAATAAAATCATTTTATTCAATGGTACTTTTTTTTTGTTAGCAGTTACAGTAGAAGGAGATGAAAGTATAGCTGGCTAAGAATGGGTAACTAGCCAGCAGTTTTGGCCGGCTACCAGCCCTTATTGACAGCCCTCATGTGACAACTTTTGATAATAAATAAATTTTTTAAAAAATTCTGTTATTTACCCTTTGCAGTAATAATATTATAGCACTAATGCTAGTAGGCCGAGCAGAAGCCTGAGACAAGCAGTTTAAATTAAACATAATAGGGTTAAGAATCCCAACTGGCCCGAGGCAAGCTATTTACAAGCGTGGTGGACCAAGAACAAATCAACCTACAATAGTAAAATCCAACTAGTGGTCTATTATCAATGCTGCATTCTGATTGGTTGAGCAGATTTTGGAAAACTAAACAATAGGCTAACTGTATGTGATCCATTTGAAACACGATCCATTTTCAGTAGCAAAAAGTTTTTCTCGAAAACTCTCACAGGCAAGGACTTCTTTGAAAACCATACAATGGTTCCCGGCTGAATCACAGGTTTGTTATTCTTTTGCTAGCTAAAGTCTTCTTTGTTGTGTCTCCGAAATGGGAATTTTTGACCAACTAGTTGGTTCTTAAGTTTTATGTGTCTAAAACAATTATTCCTCGGTTTGCCCTCAATTTTTGTGGTTTTTAGCCTGTAAGTGGTCAATAGCCCATTCAGGCCTTTGGCCTCAGCTGTGAAAACCTTACAATGGGGCTGAATCGCATTTTTGAGTAAAGTTGTTGAGCCCAATCGGACTTGAGAAATAATTGTTAAATATGGGCTATTGAGTCAGAGCCCAATCGGACTTGAGAAATAATTGTTAAATAGCTGTCAGGGCAGAAATTGAACTTGGGGCCTCCAAATTTTCCAGTCAATGCTCTAACCGCTCCAACCATGCTGCCTCCCCTTAAAAAAGAATTAACCTGGTATGTACATTAACATACCAGTAATTTTAATGGACAATGCAGGTTAAATCAGCAGTTGTACTTGCTCAAATATTGTGAAAGCGTAAACAGGATCACTTACATACAGTAATTTCACTTTGCTCTTTTGTGGTTTTCAGAGACGAAATTTGATTGATCTTCTTCTTCCCCGATGTGATCAAGAACAAATCACTTTCCTGTGGACGGTGAGTTGAGAGACAGTGGCTACAGTAATTTTTCTGCAATGACCATTTGGCTGTAAATTCCACTCAACTCCCTTTCCCATACAGAATCTAAAATGTCAATCATGCTTGGGTAAAATTTGCTTTTTCTGTTCTTGTTTTGACAATTAATGTTGTTAAATGCATTGTCATCAAAGTGAAAGACAACTTAGTGAAAGGTAAAATTACTGTTTACTTGCAATGATCAGGTTATTAAGACAGAGAGAAGCAATATCAAAATATAGTTTTGCAACCCAATATTACCAAGAATGTGAGTCTGGGCTGACGTGCAGATTAAGCTGATGCGCGTACAACATGCAGGCCTTTGATCATCCCATATTACAGTAGTTATACTGGTAGACGTGATTGTTAGACAATAGTTTTGGATACTTAATATCCTCAATGTTGGGGATATTAAGGGAGGAAAATTGGACTTAAGTGAGTGGCTGGAAATTGAGCCCAAATTGATTTCTTTTTTATGACATGTGAGATGCATTATCATTATAATTTATTTATAATGAGTTCTTGCAAGACATTTAATCAAAATAATGCAATCGTTATTAGTGTACATTGTTTACTTTTATCTCTTGTTTTACATGTTTCATCCATTTAGGTGGTTGAACCAACATTACACAGAGACTTTATGTACAGCTCCCTTAATGCATTTCCAAGGAGCTCATTTAGTCCCGTGTCAACACCCCTCTGCAGAGAAGTTCATAAGAAGCTTGGAAAGCCTCGATACAGGGTAAGTATAGGTGTTATACATGAGGGACAAATTGCGGATTATTATACGTCTCTGGGAAACTGCCCACCTACCCCTCCCCTAAGCCAACATAATGTTAAGTGAGAAGTAAGTGTTAATGTTGGCTTAGGGAAGGGGTAGGTGGGCAGGTCCCAGAAACGTATAATGATCCCAAATTGCTTTAAAAGCAATGATGTTTTGTATTGTCCTACATGACTAATTACAACAGGGCTCGAAGTTATCTTTTTAGTGCACTTGCAAAGTTTTGCTAGTAAGATTTTTTTCCGCTAGCAAACTGGTGAGACCACAAGCAAATTATTTCCCTTTGTTTGGGAGACATGGATAATTCTAACTCGCAATCGTTTGCTAGTGGATATTTTTCTTACTCGCAGATTATCAAAATCACTCGCATTTTGCGAGTTTGCGAGCGTTAATTTTGAGCCCTGTACAAGTACGTATGCTGTAATATAAATGATCATTAAATTACCTGCCAAGGTTTTTTGGGGTCAAAGGCACGAGATTTCTATCCTGACTGAGGCAGCCAGGATTTTTCAGGGAAGACCTGATCATATACATTTCCAAAAGATCAGTGCTAGTACTTTAAAATTCCTTCAAAATCAGAGATTGGGGAGAGCATAATCATTGAAGTGGACTCTTCTTCTCTTACATTGGTTTGAGTTGATTTTCCTTTAACCCTTTAAGCCCCAGTATCTACATACAAATTCTCCAAACCGATCTCCATACATTTCCTTTAAGAATTAGTCGAAAGAATTTAATAAAACATTAAGGCATTTTCGCTTTCATGATCATTTTTTATATTCTCACAACCTTATCTCTTGACAATGTATGGACATTGTTGGGAGAAAATTGCTTTTGATCACTATTGGGACTTAGAGGGTAAATACATAATATAATTAAATATAATATTTTAAAATGTATCAGTTAAGGTTAAGGCTGTCACCAAGATGTCAAGTTGCTGGACAACAATTGGGCGGGGAATCAAACAGCTAGGGATTTAAATTTTTTGTTTCTATTCTTCATCTATTTGCCTATGAAAGTAGCTGGGGGCCTTCTTCATAGTAGCAAGGGGAAATCCCAGTCCTTGCCCCTTAATGACAGCCTTGTAAGGCTTTTTGTAATTAGCTCAGTTCTTTGAGATTGGTCAACATTCATATATTGAAGTTTTGTTTAACAGTTGTAAGACTCACTCACTGGGCTTCTTTAATATACCCATTTTATCCTTTTAAAACCAGTGAATGACTGGTACACGTATGTTGTGGTTCAATTGACTCTTGGGTTAAATTTCTTAGAATCATTTCTTTTTGTTCCAACCTTATACACCGGTGAAGTGTCACACCTAAGGCGTAATTGTCATGCCTGTGGATCAAAAACTTGGATCTCATGCTTTCTCACGTCTGTGTTGCGAATTGTCACACCTGGTGGAAAAGTTTGAGCCATTATGGCATTAACTGACACATTTTGAAAAATATATTATTATTTAAAGACACCGCAACCAATGAGAGAAAAGAAAAGTCCACGTGAATGATTCAGTTTCTCTAAATTCTCTTATTTTAGTAGGGAAAGTCACTGGAGACGAGGTCGTGTTCCTTTGTGTTCCCATTTTCATGTTAGACAAAACTCTTCGAAACGTCTTTGGATATCTTTGGATATTATTGGACCCCTAAAAAATATCCTGCAATCTTAGGATAAAAATGTCGTGCCAGCAGGCCTATAAATTTTAAAAAGTTGGCAGGTATAATCTTATTATCGATACTTTAATATTGGCATAACCACAAACAAAGGGAATTAATGAAATTTAGCTTAAACCAAAGAGGATAAAGCTGAACCACACATGTACATGTTGTACATGTAGAAAACAACCTCTCTACAAGTAGGGCCGGTAGGAAGTAGGCAGATACAGGGTGCAGTGTGTGTAGACAGTGAGACACTGTTAAAGTTCAAGACCTACATTGTAAGAATTTATGCTTGAATTACCTTTCTTTGGTTTTCTGTCAGGCCTGGAAGCTGCACAGAGTTGAGAGTGCTATCCTACATGATGAGGTCAGATACATGCATAAATTATTAAACAATATATTTTGATGATAATTCTCATACATAACGCTTAACACATCTTTTCAACATTTTTAACAATTAAATTATTTTGTGGGAGAAGGTAAAATATTCGAAGCAAATTCTACACCCCAATATTCCATATACCCAAAAACCATGCATGGCCGTCGACCCAGATAAATTTACATGTAGTTCATTTTTATTCAGTTTATAACTTGTCTCTTCAGTCTCGCATCCTTGAAAAATTTAACAGTACAGGAATCTATTAAGCCTTTTACAACTTTTTTTTGCTTTGTTTTGTTTCCATGTTCTTCACTGTTTTTTGTTTTTTTTTTAGAGTTTAGTGAGTGCTACACTCTTGACCATTTGGCGCAAAATACATTTCACATTTTACATTATCCACAACAAAATCTTTAAAAAACTGTAGAAACATTCACTAGTTAGCGAAGTTTGTGAAATATACTGGTGAGTAACTTAACGCAATCTTATTACCTTCAATTTTTTCTTCGACTGTTCGAAAAGTTAAAGTAGAAGGCCTGAACGTTCCCGCCATTTTTAGCCGCCTTGGTGCCGACTGTTACTTGATTTATGATAAATTGTAGTATCCCGCGAAACCCAGCTACAGACCGGAACGCCATTCAGTATTACTTGGTCAACGCCAGGAAGCTCTAATGGTTTTCAGAGAGAAAGAAATACTACATGTATTTTAAGTTTCCTAAGAGTCTCTGTATAAAAGCCCTGGAATTGAAACCTTGGCCTTCCGCTGTGCAAACCAGCCCTTTCCCAACTGACCTACGCCCCACGGCGGTGTTTTAGCCATTCCGAACTCTAGTTATCCACCTGAGTTATTTTAAATGCCTATAGATTTGAAGTTGAAATGCACAATGTTGGTAAAGTTTTCTCGATCTGTTTATAAAAAGGCCCAAAATAAATTTCTTGTTTGTGGAATAGGGTGAAGTGAAGAACTGGACGTGTGAAGCTGTTTTACCAATCGTTAAATCTCCCTCCCGCGCTGCTCCATCTCGAGAAACCATTAAGGGAACAATGTAAGTATATGCTTTAAGTAGCTTTTAAGAAGTATTGAGCGCACGGGGGGACGATGGGAAAATAAGAAAAGGCTCGAACTCTCCTTTCTCCCCTTTCCATTGTCCTCAACGCGCTTTTACCTGTAATTCAAACGTATATGGTTTCAAAAAATTGAGCAAAATTAAGAAATTCAAGATCAAGCCTTAGCTATTTAACGCCTTACATGTACGTCAACCGATTTGTTGTTGTAGTCTTTGCTGTAGAAATATACCAAATGAGCACAGACATTCGCGTCCACTTTATTTTGTTGCCTTCTAACGATTGTTTCTTGATTGACAGTTCTCCTGAAAGAGTAGAATCTAGGGGATCGTGGAAGTCAAAGACAACATATTTTGGCGTCAAGTTGCCTGGTATTTCTAGTGTTGGTGGCCAAAAGAGGTCCTTTGGGCGACTTGCTGGCAGTCGATCAGCCCCACCCGGTGGGGCTACCAAAACATCTTACCACCATGCTGTGAGACGCCACATGCAGAATGAATACAGAAACGACGTGCTAAACCCCGCAACAACTACCAGTGAGAAAGCAGAGGATGTGACGTCATGGTAAGCATGCGCAGCCGACACAACAGGCTCAGGGGGCCGATTGCATTTGGAGCTTATCCTTTGGTAATTGGAGGGCCTGGAATTCCATAGCAAGTCTTCTCAAAAGTAGTTTTTTGCTCACCTTACGAACGATTCTGCCCGGTCTCGGATCTCGGGCTGTGTTGAGCTACACTGAATAAAAACCTGGCTTGAAGCAAACTAATAGCAATAAATTTTTGTCCCAGGTTTAAAATTGCCAAGAAATCGGCTTTTAACTACAGTGTTTAGAGAGCACGCAACTACAACTGCAGCGTCAGACACTGTGTTACTCAAATCCTCTAGCTAACATGTTTTGAACCAACTCAACCTGGAAAATCACGCCTTGGTGTGACTGGTACATGTACTCGCCTTTTTTTTTTTTTTTTTTTTTTTTTCAGGAAAAGATTGTATAAATCTAAGTCATGTCCCAGCGTATCTTTCACAAAATCAACGTGGAGTCAACGTAGGCATGTAAGTTTCATTCACGTTTATGTATATAAGGCCTAGGCCAAACGAACAACTTTTCCTGAGACCAACCAAACTCTAATTTTAGTGTCATTCGGGATAAAATTTATTAGAATTGTTTTTTGGTCTGTTTCAGTTGATTGGTTGGACGCGTCCTAAGTTCGACGTCTGACGCATCAGACGATCTTAACTTAATTTAGGTCGACCCAAATTAGACTCTGGTTCGTCTCATGAAAAGTTCGACGTTTTGGCTTCGCCGTACAGCGGTAATTATGTGTTTTCTGGTCACGAAGCTAGTTACTCTGATGCAAGTAATTGTTTGTGTATTCCATTATTCAAACGGCGTGGTAGATCTTCCTGTACCGGGAAACCGGTACATGTAAAATGGTGTTAAAAGTGACTCTTTGAAGGACATAAAAAATTTGTTTGCTGCTCCTACTTCGAATTTTTATCAACTAACAAGGAATGAATGAATACGTGAAAAATTTACGTTTTAATACTTTGCCACGGCGCAGTTGAATCAAGGATGAGTTTGCGTTTGCTCCCCACCGCAGGGGCGGATCTAGGGGGAGGGTGTAGGGGGTGCACACCCCACCTCCCTGAGATGACTTGCGGTTTTCTAATACAACTGGTATTCTGCAAAAAAAAGAAACTATGTGGTTTATTGGTGTTGAAGTAGAGCAAGAGACGAGTGCACCCCCTCCTAAAATAAATCCTGGATCCGCCCCTGCACCGTCTGACCGCCGCGCTCTCCTATCTGAACGCCTGGAACAGGGTGTGGTGAAGTCCATGCGCGAGCTAACTGAACTGCTCGCTCTGAAGGACTAGAAGAATTGCCGCTGTGAAGTGCATGTTAGCCTATTTACACGTACTTTTTTGTCTTCCAGGTTCGAACTAAAACCGAGCAGTATTCTAGCTCCTCTTTGTATGCGGGTTCGTTGCCGGAGAACGCTCAATGCCTTGTTCAGTGGTTTGAACAGCAATGGAGCGGTAAGCATCTGTACAAATTCTGATTCAGATTGAATTCATTGATTTTCTTATATTAAAGCATTAAACGACTTTACATTCAGCAAAGTCATAAATTAGCACAGCCAGTTGCAGACTTCACGCTTCTCATGATTAATTAAGAGGTTTAAAAGTCAGACGCAAGAATAGGGAGATTAAGCATCACGTTTACGTCAAACGGCAAACGTGAATTTGTACCACGTGACCGAGTTTCCCCATTGCTTGTCGTTTACTGTTCATTATTTCTACACATAAATCAGTGGTTTCACGCAATTTTTTATCCATAATATAAGAATTGTTTTGATCTGTTTAATCTGCTCATTTCCTATTGTGAGAAATTCTCAACTTGAATCTGACGTTTGCCGTTTCCTGCATACGTGAAGCTTAATCTCTCCAGTACTTGACCAATGGATACTAAGTGGTCATACTGCTCCATTTTCAAGGAATAAAGGCACAAGCTCCCCAAATTTCTTTTCCTTAAGTAATAGCTTTTAATGTCTTCTTATTTTGCCTATGTCCATTTTTTTGCTATAAAGTCCTGCCTCTAAAAGTACGATCAAACTACACGGTTAAATGTGAACTCTGCAGTTATAATGTTTGGGTGAAAAAGTCACCTTCAAGAAAGAACATACGTTTCTTATTAGTGGAGTTCAGCTGTTGTTGCTTTCTAAATACGTTTAGCTGTTTAGCGCCATGATTTTGCTAAGTAATCTTCATTTTTCTTCTAGGTTGGCAGAAAAACGAGTTTCTTCAGCTTTTTTTAAGGGTTCTTGAGCCAAGCGAACTTTACTTTCTTTCTGGACTTCTTGCTGTAAGTTTTACGGTACATTAGAGTAACATCAATAATACTGGTAGTCGTATTTTTCTTTAAGATCCTCAGTCTCTCTCAGAGACCATCTGCTTAGCAAGTCAGAGCTTGACTTGGATTACCCGCGGTAGCGGTTACTCTTCTCATCGTTTCATGTACCTGATCACCTATTTTATTCCCGCGAATTTTTTAATTCTTTCAATGAATAAATGAATTATTTTTGTGTAACCTACACTGTTTTATATTTTGTACTTACTTTGCAGGTTAAACAGTATCGAGATTTCATTTCTCTGCTCCCAGAGCCGTTAGCTATCCGCATTTTGTCTTATCTAGTTCCCAAGGAACTTCTGATAGTTTGCCAGGTAAAGACAGTACAATGTATTTAACGCATCTTGAAATTTCCTAGATGTTTTCTGTGAAAAAAAAAATAGTAGCGTGACTTACACTTGATTTGTTTCAGGTGAGTAAAACTTGGCGTCGCCTTGCATCAAGAGATGAGCTGTGGCAGGCCAAATGTAAAGAAACCTACGTTGGTGAGTTTTTTGTTTTGTTCTGTTTTGTTTCGAAACTTGTAATGAACAATTTGCCGAGAGATAAAAAATGTTCACCTCCCCATTTCAGAACCTTTAAGGAGATTCGCTACAAGCTTTCAACGCAACGATACATGTCATCGTTTGAGTTGACAATCGTTACTTATAGTTGGTTAATGGTCGCCTTGAATACTATCGACCAATCATAAGTAACGCTCAAGTCCACCCAAACGATTCCAGAAATCTTTGCGCCGAAAGCTTGAGCCCATTCCCCTTATAGTTTCTGGAGTGGGAAATTCATTCAAGCGGGATGTCTGAATAAATGATAATTTGCAGTACAGACCACGGGAATTGCAGCATCACACGAATGCATTTTCTTCCGTGTAAATCTGCTGTATTGCACGCGAATCACAGGAGTAATACACGCGCGAAACACGCGTGTAAAAACTACATGCAAAAATATACGAGAAGATTAACGCGAATTTTCGGAAACTGAGTGTAAAATGTTACACGTAGACTGCGTGTCGTTGACAACTTTCATTTTTCACCTTTGGCTGAAATCTGTGAAGCGATGATCTCGCCCCCAAACCGTGCTTTGAATATTGGTCATATTTCGAGGAAAAATAGAACAATCGTTTCTCTCGCCATGTCAGCTACAAAGTTACAGTCGATTAGCTTTTGTTAGATGCTTTGAAGAATGCATATAAACATGAATTTGTTTACACAAAATTAAAGGTGTACCTCTGAGCATGCCTGCAGTATGGAAGGACATATTCAGGGATAATTTGACCTTGAAGCGAAACTGGGCGAATGGCCGCTGTAAAGTCACTGACATGGCTGGTCATAAGCACAAGTGAGTAAACTGTTCTAGGGAGCCTACATGTAAAGCTTTTGATTAAATCTAAAAATAAATTGGGTTATGGGTTGCCTTTTGTTGCTTTCCGTGTTGATTTATCCCCTTGACTGAACTGTAGTAAGAGTGACGAATCCACCACCCCTTTCCTCAAAGGAAGCCGTGACAACCCTGCAGTCGACCACTACAATCATTTATTTATTTTTTAACTATTACCTTATGTTACATCTTTGTAGAATATGCACTGACGAAAATTTAGGCTTTTCGTTGATGATATAAGAGACGGCAGGTACAAAACGCAGGTCACAGGTCACAGGTCACAAGCAAGTTGGGTCACAAGTCAGGAGTTAGAGTACCGTTAACCGTGCTCTGGTAAATAAACAACACTAAAATTGTCTCCTAACCTTAATCACAATCTGAAATAAAGTTTTTGCTTAAGGAAGAACGGTTTGGTGGAGTTATTTATCAATAGAGCAGTGACCTGCACTTGTGACCTGTGACCTGTATTTTGCACTATGAGAGAAGCAAGCTGACAGCTATGTTCGCGAAGGAAATGTAGATCAGGCCCCAAGTGTTTAAAAGGTGGATAAATCTATCCATGCACTGGATAAATCTTTACCTAGTGGAAAACACAATTGATTTCCTTAGTACTTGTCCACTGGAAAGTGATTTATCTGTTGGATAGCGCTATGTGACGTTTGAGCGCTATCTGAGTTGTAAAATTTTTAGTTGTCTCGTTTCTCTGTAGTGTCCTTTGCGTGTGCGCTTACAAGAACTACATTGCGACTGGAAGCCTCGACAGAACAATAAAGTAAGCAAATTAACATTCCTATTTATTTTCATGACTCGACGTGACAGGAATGAGCTGGCTGAGGGGGTGCAGCTCTTACTATGAACCCGGCTGCGTGTTCATTGCCGTCCGAATACCATACATAGTTCGATATGGTACAGGGGCGGATCTAGGGGACATGAGATGTTCGATATGGTATTCTGCCCCCCTAAAAAAAAAAAAAACTATGTGGTTTATTGGTGTTGAAGTAGAGCAAGAGACGAGTGCACCCCCTCCTAAAAAAAATGGTAACTAACGAATCTATAATGACAAAAATGAAGTAAGAAAAAAATGAAAAAGTGAAGTAAGTCAAGCTAATCTAGCAGTTTGCGCTTCCTGACAAAGCCCTACCCCCACTCCCTCCCTCCTAAAAAAAACCGTGGGATGCAGTCGCACAAACCCTCTGTGGGTTAAAGATAAGAAAGAAATGTGGAAAGCAATTTTATTAAAGGTGAAAGTTCAAGAGCTAAGATGAGTGCATTATAATGATCAGACCTTTTATACCTTACAACAATAGAGTCAAATAAGGCTATAACGGATCACGTGTGTATTTATTTTATTTTACTTTATTTTTCATTTTTTACACTCTTTGTGTCTGTTATAATTACTCAAAGCTTCGTTCCGCTTTTCCTGTTTAACATCAACCCTTTGCCAAGTGCGTTTATTGCCTTTGAGCTGAGGAACCGAAAAGGCTTTCTACTCTGTACTTGACGCGTCTTAAGTTTGACAAACGTTTCTTTAAAATAATATATAATTGTCTAATGACAGTATGGTTACATTTTAGGTCAAAATTAGTTATACGTAACTGATAAGTTATTTTTAACAGAATCTGGTCTGCCAATACCGGAGCTTTGGTCCAGACATTTCAAGGTCATACGGTAGGAAATTTCGCTGCATTTACTGACTATACATGAGACCCACATTACACTTTTCTTACTGTGTCACTGTTTTAGCCATCGTATTGCTTACGTATAAATGATTTATGGACTGGTCTTTATGCTTACTGCGAGTGTAAAAAAAGTCTGGAATCGATTCGTATAAACTTTCTGCAATTATAATCATAAGTGTAACTCAGTATTCTTTTAGAATCTGAAACATTAGCTACACTAACCTTGTACATTACTCGTACAAACGTTTTCCTGTATTGAGCCCGGCTGGTTGGTCAGTTTTTTATGTTCTCAGATGGTAAGCATCCTGATGTTTTTTTGGTTTTGTAGCGCGGTATCTGGAGTCTACGGTTCCTGTCTAGTACAATTGTAATAAGCAGTTCATACGACAAAACGATCAGGGTAAGGATTTTAGTTTTTATAACGGAGATTGCTGCCTGGTCTTCTAGCTAAGCAGAACTATAACAGTGATCTGGCCAGTGGTTGCATATTAATGTAAATGATTTGTTCTCATGTTAAACCAGAATTCCACCTAGTTTGTTTCACAATTTTCTGTTGTTTCGAACCCCTAATTATTCATACTAAAGAGACCAAAGAAATTTTGGTTTAACCTGAGAAGGGAATTAATCTACAACGGTGATATGCTTTTAACCGTGGAGAGACATTTCTTTCTGTGTGTGTGCACGCTTTTCCATGGTAGGGCTATCGTTTAAATAGGTTACTATCTTACCTTTCCATTGAAACTACAGAGACCGGTATCACCCTCTCTAGTTGGTCACTGAATGTTGTTGCTGCATGGGCGACCCCTTAAGCGTTTGCCGTGTTTTGGTTTCCAAATAAGTAGTTGGGAAACAATCTCATTCCTTCTTTTCCAACAGTGGCCACTAAAATGCAGCCGACGTATATAGGGACAATGGCAAATAGGCGTTAGAGCCAATTGCTGTTTAATAATTCAAAGTTGTGTTTCCTTTTAAGCTTTGGAGTCTGCGGACAAATATGTGTGTGAGGTAAGTCATCTAAGTGTGGACAGTGACCAATGACGTACGCTTAACATGAGAACGGCGTGAGAAGCGAGAAGCAAGGGCGTCCACTCTGGCAGCCCAAAATTGAGGCTGTTTCCAAAGCTTGAGTGAATGAATTACTCGTTGCCCTCACACTTTTCCCACCTCGTGTGCCCAAGTTGTACCCTGTCCCTGTCTCGTGCTTGCTCAACGGAGGCCGGAAGAAAGAAGTAAAGGTTCTTGGAACCCAGAGAGTTTAAAGTTGTGTTTATTTGTCATTTCCCATCATCACACATTGTCGAGATACTAAATAAATACAACCGTGGAAATATAGCGAGACACTGAGTAGGAAAAATTAAACTACAGTATTAGGTGAAAGGTGCAAGACTAAACAGTGCAAAGGAGAAGAAGCTTACACGAGATGTTGTGATTGTAACGATAGCAGTGAGCTTTGTGCTTTTTTGTTCACAGAATACTAATAGGGCACGAAGGTCCAGTCTGGGCAATCGAACGAAAAGGGGATTTTCTTGTCAGCGGATCAAGCGACAAAACGGTCAGTATAAAGTTACTTTTTAGCTCGAAAAAACACTTGCAAATTCGCAGGTTTTCATAAAAACGTACCCCTTCTCTCTGATAACCTTAACATCCCGACACTTCCTCGCCCATATTTTGCATCTTGGCATTTGAGCGCAATTTTTGAGAACGAAGGCACACCGCCAATGGTAAACAAGATGTCAACGTTTTGTCAAACGTTTTTCAGTGTTGACTGACTTTAGTTGGAATAAACAAGTCCACGCTGAACTTCTTATTTCATTCATCATCTCTTCCAGGGTAAAATCTGGAACATTCGTCAATGCAAACCTCTCCTCTCTTTGGTGGGACACAATGGCTGTGTTTTTTGCGTTGATTTGGACGACGAGTGCAAAAGGGCATTCACTGGATCTGGCGATAGGGTATGTGTAGTTTGTTGTTATTAACGTAGTAGTTGCCAAATGTAGTAGGTTAGATATAAATCCGCTCAGGGATTGCGGGAGGTATGTCTGCTAGTCTGTTTTTCATTTAGAGAAGTTTAGTTGACAGTAGTTGTTGGGACGTTTCCAAACACCATTCGAAGACAAACTAAAACCTCGTTCCCAGGGTCCTCTTGTTTCCGTCCCTGCCTCGTGTCCAGTTCTATTCCTAACGCGCACGAAGGGAGAAGGGGGCATAGGGAGAGGTATAATGGAAGTGGACTGTGGATGAGTTATTTCCTGTTCCCTCTTTCTCGCCCCAGAGTCAGAAAGAAGAGGCGCCCTGGGAAGGAAGTCGGTTGGACAAGCATCTCATTGTCTCTTCGATCTATTGATTTGTCTCTTTCAGACTGTACGTGTTTGGGATGTTTCCACGGGCTCTTGTCTTTCGTCATTTAACATCGGGCAGTCATCAGCCTCGACGGTGACTACTGTTAGCTATGATCAGGTGAGAGACCTTGAGGGATTCGTTAGGATCGTTACAAGGAATTGAATTCAATCCTAAGAAAAAGCCTCTTGGGTTTAACCACTGAGCCGGTTACCTTTTGTACCCCCTTTGGATAACGACAGTCATATACATACACGGTACGTCCGGGAGTGAATATACCTTTTGTAAAGTCTATGAACTTTTTCAATTTACGCAGGCGTCCGTAAAACTGCTTAGAGAAAATATTTTTCGGAAACCGGGAGCCCTGGGACGTCATTATTATTATTCGCCTTCCTCTACAATCCAGATTTTACAAATATTTTGTAATTTACTGTTTCTCTTGGTTACTGTAATGATATTGCGACTTATCAAAGTCCTTGCTCAAACCTGGGCGAATTATTGTAAAGGGATCAACCGAATTGCGAAGGTATGCTGATGCAGACTTGACTAGGTGTTGTGGTTCTTGATGAAATGAGCAGAACAGATTGGTTTAAACATGGCGATAGATTACAAAGATGGTAAACTTTAAACTGGTTAGTAAGTGAGTTGAGATTTTTTGGTTTAAACTTCTTTGACTTCTTTTCTCATGTATGTTTTCCTTCAGGGACACCTGGCAGTGGGATCGGGAACCATGGTGTCGCTTTGGAATTTAGAAACCGGTTCCTGTATAAACGAGTTCAGTGGACACAAAAACAGGTAGAAACCTGTGCTTTTTGCTTATAGAAAGATGAAATGTTATGGTGCAACAGAATGCCGACGGAACATATAAAATACCTGATTCAACAATAAAGGTTGATTTGGGTATTGGGCAGTTGCGCAGTGGTAAGCTATTGTTTTGCGGTCGCTCTATAACACTTACTCAAGCAAATCATTGCAGTGAGTTCTGTATGCCCAATTGCCAAAGCAGCCTTTATTGAATTAGATATATGCAGAGAAGACTCTCTTAAATTAAGATGGACAGTGAAATAAGACGGCCACCCAACATTGGTTCCCGACAGTTCTTTATTCGCCTTCTATTTGACTGTCTAGATCAGTGGACATCTCTCTAAGAAAGACACTTAATAGTGCCTGCCCCAAAGGTGTTCGTCTTGAGAGCCGAGTTGGCTGTATTGTCTAACTTAATTCAAGCTGTAGTGTTCAACTTAATTTAAAAGAATTGTAGGATTATGATCACATATCGCTGAAGTCATGGGTCTTGAAAACATTTGCTCTCTTTAGGGTTGAATCTGTTAAGTTAAAGTTTATGATGGTGAATGGAAGGAAAGAGGCGGGATTAATTTTGAGTGCTGGAAAAGACGGCTTGATAAAGTACTGGGATATTGAAGAGTAAGTACATGATTTCAATCGTTCTTAACTAAAATCATTTCTAGGCTATTTTTAATGTAGTTGGAGAAACTCTATTACGAAAAAAAGTCATTCCCTTGTGTCTTGTTAAGTGCCTCTCCACCCCCCTACCTTTGTCGTAAATGTTCACTAGTCTGTGTACACTTACCCCTCCCCTGAGGAAAAATGGATCTTCCATGATAGGCGCTTAGATGCTGTCGGGTTGAGCGTATGATCCCAGTTTTTTAAAGCAATGGGCCCTTTTTGGAGACGATTGCAGTCATTTTCCTCGTCTTCATTTGTGGTCAAAGGGAATCATGGATACTAATAAATCAGTTCCTGTTTAATGAAGTATACTCCTTTGGGTTTTTCTAACAATGAATGATTTTCCAGTAATCGGACACTTAGTTATGCGCACAGGATTATGGGATCGCCAGGGGGCAAACATTGCAAGTCGCTTCAAAGGATTGTATGGCGTGGAGCTGTTTCTCCTTTAAAAGCAGTGTCTTTGGACAGAGAACGTAACATTTTGCCGTTATTTTATGAGAAGCGGAGGTGACTAATATTGGTGCGAAGAAATTGTAAGTTTTTGTGGGATCAATGCGATGAAATCTATCGATAAACACTGATTCTTGCGAAAGGTCGACTGTGAATTTACTGAATGGTCTCGAAATATATAGTACTGACTTAAGTATAAATGAGCGGGGAATGCGAACTCATTTAAGCCTTTCCAGTTGTACTTAGATGTGCTCATATTTACAAAGAGTGTAATTACGCTCCGCTCGGCGGCGATCACAATGCTGTGCCGGCTTGCGACAACGATCGAAGGTAAGCTTATGTATTGTCGAACTTGATATGTATTAAATTTAAAAACAAAAACATCTTCCGCTCATTAGTATATTGATTTCTTCTCGCCAAAAAAACACAAGCGAAATGTTTTGTCATGATCCAGAGAACCGATGAGTTCTAATGCCTTTTCCAATCATTTTGAGGGAAGATATAGAATCTCTGAATTTGGCACATCAACTTGGTATTTATTTTCACACTCACCGCTTTTGTATCGGAAATCTTACTGGTTTGTACGATTTCTGCCTCATCTACTAATGGTTAAATACCATGTACTTTCCATGAAATATTTTGTAGATGTCACTTTGTTTATACCAAAGTAGAGGAGGATTTTCTATTTTTATGGCCACGTACATACCTACGATCGTTGACTTGTCACAACCCGCAAAGCGCCGCACAGCGCTGATCGCGGCCGAGCGTAGCTACACTCGTCGTAAATATCACCACACGTAATTATAACTTAAACGCTTAAATGAGCCAATCCCCCTACATGTATACCTAAATTTGCACTATATATTTCGAGACCTTTTCTTCGAATTCTTCATGTCTGTGTAAATTCAGTGAACAAAAATTTCCGGGGTTTAGACAATGGCAAAATTTGCAATAAATTCACACTGTAGTTATAAGAAAAATTTAGCCAGAAAGTCACTTTGTATTATTATTAAAGAAAAATTTAGCCATTAATTAACGGCTAAATTTTTCCTCTTTATTAAACAAAAATTTAGCCATTAATTCACGGCTAAATTTTTCCTATTTATTAAACAAAAATTTAGCCATTAATTAACAGCTAAATTTTCATTAACTATTTATAACTAAAATTGCCATTAATTATTTATACAAACGAAAAATTTAGCCATTAATTAACGGCTAAATTTTCATTAACACATATACAAACGAAAAATTTAGCCATAAATTAACGGCTAAATAATTCCCATATATATATATGAAGACAGCTAAACTTAGCCGTTATTTAACGGCTAACTATTTCCCATTATATAAGTATCATGCATTTTTAGCCGTTAAATAACGGCTAACTATTTCCCACTATATTATTGTCATGCATTTTTAGCCATTAATTAACGGCTAAATATTTCAAACTATATAAGTGGCATACCTTTTTAGCCGTTAATTAACGGCTAAATATTTCCTATAAACATAAAGATACAGCTAAACTTAGCCGTTATTTAACTGCTAACTATTTCCCACTATATGTTTCCTGCATTTTTAGCCGTTAATTAACGGCTAAATATTTCCGATATACATAAGAAAACAGCTAAACTTAGCCGTTAAATAACGGCTAACTATTTCCCACTATATAAGTATCATGCATCTTTAGCCGTTAATTAACGGCTAAATATTTCCGATATATATGAGGATATAGCTAATCTTAGCCGTTATTTAACGGCTAAATATTTCCCATTATATAAGTGTCATACCTTTTTAGCCGTTATTTAACGGCTAAATACCTCCAAAACATATAAAGAGACTGCTAAACTTAGCCGTTATAAAACGGCTACCAGGTTTAATGATTAGAACTACTTAATAAAGTACTTATGATCCGTATGATTGGATGTAAAAGATTAAATCTTAATCATTGATCACGCTGTTTCAATAAATTACATTTTAATGGGTATTGAGTTGCTAGTTTTACTTGTCCCACTCCTTCTTCCATAATATGTAAAAGTCGATCCATACAATTTTAAACACAACTTTTCTCGCGAGTAGTATACATTTAAGGTAAACATCTCCTTCAAATAAAATTTGATAACATTGTTGAAGTTTAGGCCTCAACCACAGATGACAATAAAATACAATTTTAGAGTTATCCCGGGGTCGGGCATTTGCACACTTATTTCAGCCCCACCGTGAGGTCTTTGTATGAATCCCCGGCCACCAGCCTCTACCGTAGGGCAATTGCAGTGGTTCTGAAAAAAAAAAACAAACAAACAAACGCCCCACAAATTCCCGGGGAGGAGGGATAATTTCCATGTCATTCCATGATTCGGCCTCGCATTTCTTTCCAAATTGAAACTTTTCTTTCCTGGCAAAAGCCCCCCTTCTCTACCACCCTTACTAAAAACCAAATAGACCACACAACAAAAGTCCTTTGCCCATGGCCTTCTCCTGGTTTTATTGGCTTCTGACGTTCTTTATCCCTTGATCTTCCCTCACAGCCATTTAGAATGAAGAGACAAAAAACGGCTGTGAGCGACAGTAACGTTCTAGGATAAACACCCCATTTTGGCCGAATCAATTAACGGCTTAAAGAACCAACTGCGGAGCAGTTCTTTTAATGTTGGCTCCGGTGAGAAGGGAGGGGCAAATTTCGTCGTTCTCTTTTTGAGGCCGTTTAGAATTAAATGTCAACTTACTGAACCTCCCCAGCCTCTCCCCCGCGCGGTCCCTATAGTTCGTACATAATAAGCCATTATTTAATGGCTAAGTTGAACCTCCTAAAGAATATGGCTAAGTTTGACCTCCTTTATGTATATATGTTGAAAATATTAAGCCGTTAAATAATGGCTAAGTTTGACCTCCCTCAGGTATATATTGGAATTATTTAGCCGTGGATTAACGGCTAAGTTAAACCTCTATAAACACAAAGGAATTATTTAGCCGTTAATTAGCGGCTAAGTTTGACCTTCTCTCCAGCCTATAGTGGAATTATTTAGCCGTTAATTAACGGCTAAGTTTAACTTCCTACACATATATAAAATGACATGTTTAGCCGTTAATAAACGGCTAAGTTTAACCTTCTTTCCATATGTATGGGAAATGTTTAGCCGTTAATTAATGGCTAAGTTTAACCTTCTTTCTTATATATGGGAAATGTTTAGCCGTTAATTAATGGCTAAGTTTAACCTTCCTTTCATATATATGGGAAATGTTTAGCCGTTAATTAATGGCTAAGTTTAACCTTCTTTTCATATATATGGGAAATATTTAGCCGTTAATTAATGGCTAAGTTTAACCTTCTTTCTTATATATGGGAAATGTTTAGCCCGTTAATTAATGGCTAAGTTTAACCTTCTTTTCATATATATGGGAAATATTTAGCCGTTAATTAATGGCTAAGTTTAACCTTCTTTCTTATATATGGGAAATGTTTAGCCGTTAATTAATGGCTAAGTTTAACCTTCTTTTCATATATATATGGGAAATATTTAGCCGTTAATTAATGGCTAAGTTTAACCTTCTTTCTTATATATGGGAAATGTTTAGCCGTTAATTAATGGCTAAGTTTAACCTTCTTTTCATATATATATGGGAAATATTTAGCCGTTAATTAATGGCTAAGTTTAACCTTCTTTTCATATATATGGGAAATATTTAGCCGTTAATTAATGGCTAAGTTTAACCTTCTTTTCATATATATGGGAAATATTTAGCCGTTAATTCATGGCTAAGTTTAACCATCTTTTCATATATATGGGAAATGTTTAGCCGTTAATTCATGGCTAAATTTTTCCTACGCTATACATATATAAAAGGAATATTTAGCCGTTAAATAACGGCTAAATTTCTCGTTTGTATAAATAGTTAATGGAAATTTCAGTTATAAATAGTTAATGAAAATTTAGCGGTTAATTAATGGCTAAATTTTTGTTTAATAAAGAGTAAAAATTTAGCCGTTAATTAATGGCTAAATAATTTCTATAAGAAGGACATTATTTAGCCGTTAATTAATGGCTAAATTCTCGGTTTGTAGAATATACAAAGTGACTTTCTGGCTAAATTTTTCTTATAACTACAGTGTGAATTTATTGCAAATTTTGCATTTATATATACACCCAAAAATTTCAAACTCAACCTCACTCAAGGAGTGTTTATCGATAGAATTTATCGCATTAATCACATAGAAACTTGAAATTTCAACGTACCAACATTAGTCACCTCCGTTTCTCATAAAATCACGGAAAAATGCGGCATTCTATGTCCAAAGACACTGCTTTTAACGGAGAAACAACTCGACGCCATACATTTCTTTGTAGCGACTCGCAATGTTTGCCCCCTGGCGATCCCAGAATCCTGTGCGCAAAACCTGGATATCCGATTACTGGAAAATCATTCATTTGACGTAGACTGTCGTGTGTCTTCTCAATAGCCCTTATGCATTAGTACGTCAGACGAGCACGTTTCACCACCACGCCTCGTCTCTGAACAGCATTCTTTGCATTATCACTCTTCGTGCATAGTTATTCTTTCAAATCTACTGCTGTGGGAATTAATTTACGTAAAGACTTTGAAAATTTACAATCGTAAAACAAAGCGTGGTTTTGAAATTTGTTTGTCTGACGTAAAAATGCATAAAGGTTAATAGTGCATCGAACTGATAAAAACGAAATATAGTCTGTAGAAAACACTCTCCACCGTCGTGATGTGTCGACTGACAATACATTTTGTCATTAATTGACTGGTTTTACGGTTGATGGATGGGTGAATGGATACGTAGACGAATCGGTGACAATAAACATCTTTCTAATTCTGTGAGGAAATCATTGATGGACTGACAAAATGTCTGTTGTTCTTATTTCCAGAGCTTCTTGCATTCAGACCTTGAAAGGCCACAGGGATAATGTGAACTGCATTCACGTGGATTCCACCAGAATAATCAGTGTTTCTTTTGATCGCAGAGTTCGAATTTGGGATTTTAACTCATGAGTCTTTTCTGTGGATCGCTTACCTATGAACGTCAGTTGCCATGTCTTGCTTCATTTTAGCAGTTGCATCTACGAAATAACCTAACACAGTCGAACTGGCCGCCACTTACCTCTGCCCACAATGCAAGATGACTGGCATTGTTAAGAGCTTCGACTGTACAGAAGCTTGTGAAGACACTGGACTGAACAACACATACAACGGCAGTGGTCGACGACAATGTTTTCTGCACACTAAATGCACGTGTTTTATCCTGCGTCCTTAGAAATGAGACAATAGGCAGTTAGTAAAAATTCGGGCCTTTTTATCATTGTTGGCATAATTATCATCTCCCTCATCATCATCATCAACATCATCATCTTCCAATAACTGAGAGCGCGACGACAGTTTTACTCCAGTCTTACTGTAGAGAAGTGTGAAATATTGTGCCGAGTATGAAATAGTGACATGCTCTTAAAACAAAAATGCACTAGTTAAAATTCAAATTTTTGTAGCTAAAATTGTCTTTTCTGGTTGTAAATAGAATATATTTAAATTGTAAAAATTGTAAATAGGAGATATGTGAATGAAAAAATCGTGTTTATCAATGGAATGCCACTGGTAATACGTGTATTGTCTTGGTTTACGTATAATGGTGAATTCAAAGTGGACAGCCTGCAAATTGTAGTAGTTGCTACAAAATATATCTACGTGTCGTAACTGTTCATCAGTAGGATGCCTAAAATGTGTGCAATTCTACAATTGGTTTCTGCTCCATTAAATCCTATACCAATTGTAGAACATTTTAGCAGGGGCACTCAACGAGAATATAGTTCAAAACCACCTAAACAAAGCATTTTTGAACGTATTATATTATTTAAATGGTAGATATAGGCATATTTTTTCGGATTTCCTAGCTGAAATTCTAGTGATCTGAGAATTATAGGGATAAAAACTTACCTTTTCGAAAATTTCAACCAGAAAAAAGGCTCCCCAAAAATCTAGGTGAACTTTTTAGGGTAAAATCCGTTAAAAATGGACAATTATACCATTTTTTAGATGTTCGAAATCTTAGGGGAGGGAGGAAAGCAAGAAATTTTACAACAAATGTTCCGAAAATTCTAGATTTCAAATCGTCTTCCGAACAGATATTTTCCTAAAATTGACGTTGAGTGCCCTTGATTTTAGAAGGAGCCACCCACAATGCATCGAGCACGAGGAACGGAACAATTAAAAAAAACAACGAAACAACAGAGAATGGGTAATTGGCTTGGTTTGATAGGGCTAGAGTTGAAGTTACGTTTCGTTTCCATTGTTCGTTTTACCGTTTCCCCTTTCCTGTTTATAGACTTCTCAAGATCATGTCTAAGTTGTTTAATATAACCTTCATAAAAGTGTATACTTTTTTTGAAGCGAGGAAGTGCTCCCGCTTCGCCGAGTTTGCCTTTTATAATGACGTCATATGGGGGTATCGTGACAGCTTATCAGTCACGAGCCGCGTGAGGTCTTGGAGCATTGCGTGACTTCGGCTCTTTGGAGGAGACTACAAAGTTAAGCTTCCGCTTTCCGTCTAGACCTTTCACGAAGGCATTCTTCCCTAAAACGTTAGTTTAATTCTTCTTCTTCGTCGTCCTTCCACATGTATTTGAAAAATCGTGGACAATGAAGTCATAAATTACGTCACTCGAAACTGATTGTTGGTTCTTTTCAAGCAGACGCCGCGACGTTTAATACGTGGCGAATTTAATCCGAGGATAGAAAAATGCTTTGCAACGGAAAAGCACGACTGAGTAGGTACACAGGATCAATGCAATCAGCAAGAAAGCCTGAGAGAAAAGTTAAAGTTTTTGTTGATGACAAACAGGATCGAAGGAACTCTTTTATTTTGTCCACGGTGAGAATCATCGTCGGAGGATCTCTTGCCGTCCTTTTCATCGTCAAAGACTTAGCTTGCGTTATATTGTTTGGAGTCGTGCGACTCCTGGGTGAAACTCTACGATGGTTTGTCAACTTTATTATTCGATTCACAGAGGAAATATTAATAACGATTGTGAGGGTAACAATGCGTAGTGCTGAAGAATTATTTAACCTTTTATTTGGTGTTATTCTTCAGATCATAAACAATGGAGGTAGAGTGCTAGTTCGTGGATTGCAGCAAATCATTGGAGTTGTAGGTTACTTGTTCATTATCGCCAGCTTTGCGGTGGCCTATCTTTTTCATCGGATAATTTCTTTTTTATTTTCTGAAAGGTAAAATTCGGTCGTAACTAACTGTTGTTTATGCACTGCGTATTAAGTTGATCAAATTTCATAAATATTTTACCTGTAATTTGCATATCAGTACTTTTGTCACGCCATCAATAGATCGGTTTCTGTTCCTCGTATTTGGTTAGAAGTTTAGTTTGTGTCTTCTGATACAAAGCTACTACTGACTTTCTGAGGAAGAAAACAAAGCTTTGGAAACAACGTTATCTTCTAAATTATTCAAAACAAGGAACCAACCGATACGTTTAAGAACTGTTAAAATGAAGTTGCCGTCGAAATTGGAAGCGTGCACTGCACTCGCTTTAGATTCGGCGACTTCGTTGTGCGGGGTGCTGCAGAGCTTGAAGAGAAACTGAAGTATCAAAATACGCCTCAGAACTAAGGAGAGACTTCGTATACATATAAAGGGAGAATTTATTTGCTACAAGCTAACATGGCGCCAAAGAAATCGAAAGAGTCACAAGAAAGTCCGACAACTCATTTACAATTATCACGCGTCATCTTTCGAATCATTTCTCACATGATCTGCAATTTCTATCTACTCGTAGTGCAGTACACTGGAAAAGCAATGCATACTATACTACAGGTGTTATTTGAGACGATTCGCGATGTTATCAAGATTATACTGATGTTAGTTGCCCGCGTGTTCTCTGATATCTGCTACGGTGCGGCCCATATCGTAGAAAAGATAATTGAAGCTGTGCTATATATTGTTCTTCAACTCATTCTGATAGCAGGGAGTTTGATTAATCGAACAGTGAGAGGATTTGTGGATCAGGCGGGATATAGTATTTCGTCAACCGTGTTTATTGTTCTCACCGTCCTAATTTGGTGGGTTGTTCTTCCCGCGCTAGTAAACTTTGGTCACGCAGTCTTGCAGTCAATTAATGAATTCGTCACGCAATTACTATGACAAATATTATGTAGCAATCATATATACGTAAATAGATTAAGGATAAATGCGACTTGAATTGTAGAATAACCAATTTATTATTTTCAACCAACTCCGTAGTGGTCAACTAGTGGTTGGATAGCCAGATACCATATTAAGTGACTTGGTATCTGCATATCCACTTTGTAGAGTCTTTATAAATAATAACCTTTGAATAGAAGTCACGATCAATGCCTACCCTGCAGATTGCAGAATTATGATAGAATACCTGGTACACTAACTCTCTTACTTGAAAAACTGCTGCCACAGTCCCACAGTCATGTTCTATAATGGCAAGTACTTAAATCTAAGTGAGTAAAACGTGTGCTTTTGCAGTCCCACATTCCCACAGTTGCTTAAAGGGCAACTCTCGGGAAAATTACCCCTGTTTTTTAAGTTCTCTATGGTTTCCTAATGGCATGTAATGTCTCTCTTTGGTGAAATTTCGGATATATCTGCGAAACTTATTTTTTTATAATTTTTCGAAAACTCGATTTTTGCCGCCATTTTGAAAACATTCGGATTTCAGGTTAGTCACGTGATTTTACGTCACACGTGTGGAACACGGATTGGCAAGTGAAGATTATAAGAGAAAAACGCACCAAATTTCTCTTGCAAATAAAGGAGAAATAGAGCCTCTACTGTCATATTAACGTTCAGGAAAAGCATTTCGATGATGGTTCCAATTTTTAAATTTACACGGGCATCAGATGCGGGTGATTTAGATTTTTTTTCTGTATTTTTTTTGTTAGGGTATTTTTGAAGTCGCGTGAGACATTTATCGACCCGAGGTCAATAATAATTGTAAACAGCTAAGCTCCTAATCTGCTACGTATAATACAAAGAACATCTTTCCTATAGCAGATTTAAAATTCTGATACAACCATTAATGTTACCTGATGGGTGTTGATGCCCTTCATTCCTCGAAAACGACTTAATTTTTTCCCGGGAAATACTCGCATCTTTGAAGAGAACTCCGTCACAGACCGCCGTACCGGCCTGATTCTATACCGCCTTTTGTGTTTTCACTTAAGTGTGTTGTTCTCTTGCACCGCCGTAGCCAGTATGAGAGGGTCTCAATGGGGTGGTGGCATTTACGGTTATCGGCTAAAATTTTGGCTTTTTTACGGCTATCGGCTAATTTTTTTCAGTTACGGTTAACAGAAAAGTTAAAAATTAACTTCCTTTGTTTCAAAAAGTTAAATATTAATTAACCTGTATTTTTTTGTATCTTTAAAGCAAAATAAAGGTCTTAGGATCATCTCGGGATATGAAATAAGCTATTCTTTTGAAAAATTTCAACATTTGATAGATCATACTTTTTATAAAGTATTCCACTTCTAATATTATTTTACCCATAAAAATGTCAATAGTCAATTTAAAAATAATCTTTGTGAAAAAGCAAAGCACACACGCGAACGCCTAACTCAAGGCCGGGGCGCGACATTCATTAGAACAGAAATGGCCGTTTTTTACACTAAAGACGGATTATTCGTGTGATACGGGTTATCCGTTTGATGATTCGCTTCAGATAGGTAATGGAATAGTTTTAATTTTGCGTGAACAATCCGCCTGACTTTATCCTTCAACTTCGACGGACAGTTTGAAGACGAGATTATCCGTTGCAGATAGCCTGTGTACAACCGCCCCTTCCCCTCAGAAAAAAAAATCGGAGAGGCGGGTGTCTGTCGGGAAGGGGGCGACTGTACACAGGCTAGTCTCAGACGGATAATCCGTTTCTAGCTCTAGTGTGAAAACGGCCAATAACAAAATTCCCGTGTCCAGTGTTTTTAATGGTAGCGAAGGACTGTACGGAACCACTGCATGTCAGCCGTTTTGCCTTGTCCGTAGGCCTTATTATTTCGCGCGGCTAATGCGTTTCGGGTCACGTGGTCCGAGCGAGTTCGCCACCGAAATGCCTTGACCGAAATTGCGTGGGAAGACGCCGTACAGGGACTCGGCATGGCAATGTCTACCGTAGCGTCAGAGAAAAACAGGGAAATGTTGTTTCTCGGCAACTTGTTTTACAAACAGTGAGATCTCTTCGTGTTGTTTCACTAGTGTTTCGAGGGCACGACCTCCTTAATCCACAGCAAGAAGCCACACTTTCGCTATAGAAAAAAAAAAAAGTTCTCCGAGAGAGCGGCCGAAATGGAAATGGGTCTTGGTCTTCACCTAAAAGGCGCTTTACCTAACGTGCGTACGGAGCCAAACTAGCCGCGAAATAAAGGCGCAACCATAAGTGAGTTTAGTACCTTCCTTAAAAGTAGCAAATCTAGGGAACAATTTCTTTTACGGTTAACTTTTTTTACCCTATTTACGGCTAACGGTTAAAATTTTTCAATTTTTACGGCTATCGACTAAATTTTTGGCCGTTTTACGCCTATCGGTTAACCCCATTAAGACCCTCGTATGAGGCGAACCGAGGCACTCGCCTCGGTAAAATTGTACCAAATACTGTCGATTTTTATTTTTTTTATCAGACTGATAATATTAGAAGATTTCATACGGCTGATTTCGTACAACGGACCGTGTGTTTGCCTCGGTTGTAGTTTCTTCCTGGCTACGGCCCTGTCTTGTCTGAAATCTGCAGGTTCCATCCATTTACCTTTGCTTCTAAACACGCGAAATAAAACTCACATCTCGCCGAAAATTGCGATTTTATGATCATCATTTTGAAAGTAGTTATTCGAGATGTGCTCTCGAGATTGTAGCGTCATTCCATTGCAAAACCTGCACACACGCTAAAATTACATGTAATGAGCCTTTTAAGGATGGAAAGAAATGAAAACAGTTCAAAAAAAGTTGATTAAAATAGGATTGCTTCATTATCTTTAGTGGTACTTTGTACCCGTCCTACCCGCCAACACTATAAAACTGCCTTGATAGTCACGCGTGTCACGCTTCTTTTGCAAATTCCTTCCCTTTGGGACTTCTCACAAGAAAGGAAACAAGAAATTATTAACCCGTTTTTAAATCCCCGACGCAGTACTTTTGGAAAATTCCAAGGAGAAAAATGCGATCCATAACAAGAGTGAAAAAGGAGAAAGAACTAGGCAAGGTTCCTGCAGTATGAACCTTTTTATTGAAGGTTATGGCTCAAGCACCATAACTGAAAGTCTTTGCTGGCTATTAAGAAAATTCAAGGGCTTTAAAAAACTACATGTTGAACCTGCAACTGAATACCCCTACACTACTTGCTGCATCCAAAGAGAGGCCCAACAGAGATGAGGCAATGGGTTCTTTCGTTAGCAGATAAAATCTTTCCAGCCTTGTCAACTAAAGAAGGACTACAATGCCGTGCAATGTTTTTATTCTTTGTAGTTTAGGCTAAGCTAGGTCACTGCTGCAATTAGTGACTTAGATGACCATGCACTGTATGGTCCACTTAAACTGTGACCGGTTTTCTTTATTATTATTGCCTTATCAATTAAAATATGCAAGATGGAAACAATCCATTTGTGAATTCTAATTTCAAAATGAGGATTTCCCATTATAAGCTAAAGATATACTGCAATGAAAAATAAAATAACATTTTATTATTAAGATATAAAGTTTCAACTTGTACATTATTTCCCAGTTAACAATCACACCTGCTGGAAAAAAAAGGGTGACATGTTATTAGTCAAACACTAATCCGCCATTATTATTCAGAAGCTGTGAGCAAATAGTCGAGAAGAATTATGTATTTCCCACACACTGACACCATTGGACTTTAAAAGACCATGTAGTCTTATAGATTTTTTAGTTCCAACAATTATTGTTGACATTGTTTGCTGGGTAGCAATCATTTTAATGGCAACAAAGTTGCTCTAGCCCAGTCTTCCAGTGGTGAGTGAGAAAATTGCATCATATTTTATTTACAGTAGGGTTATTGGCAATACTTGGTATATTTATTCATCTGGGCCCAGTTGTTCCAAGGCTGGTTAGCGCTTAACCCGGAGTTAAATTTCACCCTGGTTTCTTTTTGTTGTGTTCAAAAGCATTTTCTTGGATAGTTTTCTCTCTTATTTTTAGAGCATCCAGTCATCAACTTGTGGACAAAAAGAATTAAAACTGAATTGCTTTTTAAGCTTTCAAATCTTAATTCAAATCTTGCACTAACCCTGGGTTATCTTAACCCAGCTTTGAACAACTCGGCCCTGCACAATGGAATCCTGTGAACTCCATCTCATCCTCCAACCTTTCAGGCTCCTGGAAATGAGGTCGTATTCACTTAACTGCACAGGAATCAAGGACGGTAATGTAACTCCTGTGTCCCTGCCAAGGGAGCCCCAGTATCACCTTACCAATTGCCTGTAGGCAATGTGCCTGCTTTTTTTATGATCTGATTCTTCATATGCCGAGGCACCATGCTGCTGCTTGTATTGCCGTGCAGCTCGTAACACCCAGTAATTCAGACAAACTGCCTGGAATCCTGGGTGTTCCACTATGCTCCTCTAGGAGGCTCCTCCATATTTTTAACTTCAGCTGCCTCCAAATATTTACGTTTTACAACAGCCACCTCTTGGAAGCAGATATTTTCCCCCCAACCAATAGCAGTTATCTTCTTTAGTCATAAATATTGAACGTCGGTTAATGGGCAACAGAACAAGTGTTGAATATTGACCTTTTCATTCTGCACCCAGAAAATTATCAAACTGCCATAAGTCAAGACAGAGAATATTATTTCAATTTTGAGCTTATTCACTCTTTAACGTTTATGGCTTCATCATACTATCTCCTACCCATAACCACAAAATAGTTTCAAATATGTACACGTTTTCAATACTGGGTGTATTATAATAGAAGTTTCTGCAGTTATATCTCATCAAATGCAATATTATTGTACTATTGTTGTGCTCCAGACAAAAACTTAAGTGAATACGACATGTCCCAACCTCGAAAATCATATACTGGGGAGCAGAAACGTTTTATGCAAGCAGTTAGTTCACATGGGTATGGAGGTGTATCTCATCCCAACTTTAAATTGTCTTAATAAT